GTTTGTTTTGCAAATTTATTAGGCCACATATTATTATATCCACTTCGTCAAATATTAATAAATGTCTAAGGTCTACGCAAGCATATAGTAAGGCAATGTTAAACTCCAGAAGTCTTCCTATGACTCTTTCAACCTGAATTCTAAAAGACGCTATTATTTTAGATTCAATCACTTCTTCTCTGCTACTAAGAGTGTTTGCACTCACACTAGGAGGTCTGAAAAGTGAACAGTCATATTGTTTTAAAGTCTCTTTCTGCAGTAACTTCCTATCCAGGAGATAGATTGTTTACGTACCCGCAGTTTTCTAAAATTGCTGTATCTATGTCCTTTCTCCAAATCCACATGAAACAAAATTTACTACACCATCGGGAGTACATGAAATCATATACTTGACAGTATTCAGACCATGTCAATGATTAATGTAAAGAGTTACTAAGCTTCTGAATTCTAACCTCAAAGCAATCTATAATGGACTGGACCTCGGAGTGGACTTTTGAATACCTGCTTCTAAACGCTATTGGCAAATGTTTAGCTACTTTGATAAGAGCTGGCCAGATAATTAATTAATGCACTCAAAGATTTGATCTATATTTACTGAAGATCTTCCAAACTGCATAGATAATATTGTATATGGTTCATTTAGTCGATTTTTTTAATTGTAATAAAAATATGTGTATATGGAACCGAAATTTGTGACAAAATTTGCATGCAAAAATATGATTCCATTCCGATACCTTTGAAAGCTCTGTTTATTGACATTAGGGTCCCCTTTAACATGAATGCTGTGTACTAATCATTCAAAATTTTCCAAACTGTGTTTAAATTTAATAGGAGAAGTACTTGCATGTGATACTGCTCTTTTTATTGGTGAACATGAAACATTTGATTTATTTGGACTTGTTTAATGTATATATTGAGGAAAAAATTTGCTTCTAACTTGGATTTTTTTTGTCTCATAATATATGATTGTTGTTGGGAACAAGAATAGGTCCGTCATCAAAGAATTCGAGTGGGTCGTCTCTAATAGCACCACTACGACTACTACAATTAATCCTATCCACTGATTTCAGGCTAGATAGACTTGGAACTTGACTGCTGACCCTAAAAACTAAGAGGTAAAACACCCTTTCTGAGCCTTAAATTTCCGCTCATCAACTTCCACTCCATATAGTTTACCATATCAGTTTCAAGCAGGAATAAAAAATACACAGAATACTATAATGTTTCCTTCCGTCTTTCTTTATCGCCTTTAAACATTTTGTAAATGATTTTTACAAGACCCAGTATATTAAATATTAATAATTTTTTCCCTTATTTATACACTAAGAAATAAATATGTTTGGGCAGATCTTAAAGGATGAGCCATTTATTACCGTTATAATATTGGGGAATTACAGTTCCAAATGCCATAAATTAATAATGCCTTTTTATGACGATAGGCCATGTAACTTACCTCACCAAGGTACCTTAATAATTTATTAATTCCATTTATTAAATATAATATTGCATTCTTATTAAATTCAAAATTTTTTATTTAACGAAAAATCTCCCAGATAATTAAATCTTATTTACGACACCTAATAAATAATATCTATAACCACGTCCTTAAAAGATCCAAATTTCGTGCACGTGTCTGAGAACCTAGACCAACAAAACCACCATAAAACATATTTCTTTTTACGAAGTAATTATCATTAAAACACTTAACTCGCTTATCTTTCTAGTTTCGATGTTAAGACCAATTTCGACAATATTTTGATACACAAAGCTTTCAAGGCAAGTAATAAATCAGCCACCCCCTTTGCACCCACATTCGTATTTCTCTGGGAACTAAGACACACAGAGACGTCACAAAAGCTATTAAACTTAGTATAAGAACTCTGACCAAAATGAGCTCGGATTCATTCATTTTTATTAATTGATGTGTAAGCATTTATTTTATTATTTTACATTCAACCAATCAGTTATTTTCTGTATCCAGTTATATAGTATGTACCTTTCCTAAAACGCTCTTCCTAAACGACGTCTATCCTACAATACCTTCTATCCCCGAAGGTGTCAACGTCTCGACGCTCAACGTCCTGCCATCCTACTTCCCTACCTTTTTACGGTATCACTTCTAATACCACTTTAGTATTTCCTACAATTTTATTCATTCCGACGTTCTACTTTTCGACACCCTTCGTCACTTCCCGCACCACCTAAATATTTCTACCGTATATCTGTCTCAATGCAGTACCGTATTAAATACCTTCCTCTCAACCACGACGCTAGGCGTCTCGACGCAAGGTGACGCTCAACGCTGCGACGTACCTAAATCAACGCCGCCACGACGCTAAGATTTATGTAACTTTCTTTGAGGTATCGCCGGTGTTTCATTTAAAGAAGATCTTGATATTTGCTGCAATGTAACCAATAAACCACATGGCCTTCCGGTCATACACTCCGAAAGACAGTTAGGATAAAATTATAAAAATCAATATTAAGAAATATACAGGGTTGAATGAAGTTATTTCAATAGAAATTATAATAGTCAATATAAAAAAATATACAGGGTTGTATTAAGTTAATTCAATAGAAATTATAAAAATCAGTATTTTAGAAATATACAGGGATGTGCTATCTTGGATAAATTGTATAAACCAAAAAGTTTAGTAGTAAGTTAACTAACTAGAGATAACACTGTTCGTTAGCTCAAGGGGGGACACCTATATGCTAAGCCACCCATTCTACAAGGTTTGAAACAAAGTATATGTGAAATCAACATAGTAAAGTAACCAATTAGCGAATTTGCGCTGTTCGTTACTTCCGTTGGTCATCACCTCTATACTCGTCGAAATATTTGCCTTAGAGGGCGCAACCTTTGTATATCTAGAATAGAATCAAATCAACACAGTAGTTAACCAACTGGAGAATTGGCGCTGTTCGTTAACTCCGTTGGTCATCAACCTAAATAAGAATATAAATATTAACAGAGTAGTTAACCAACTGGCGAATTGACGCTGTTCGTTAACTCCGTTGGTAATGAACCTAAATAAAATATATATTGATAGCAAATGAATATGGTCTACGTTTGAACGGGACTCAAGTGAGATCTCAGTAAATAGTACCAATTGTAATATACTTTGTTAATTATTGCATCACATTTAAAGTACGAAAAATAAAAGAATTTAAATATACATTTGTCTGGTTTTATTTATCAATTCGCACCAAACTTTGCATCGAATCCTGATTTACCTAAATTAACATTATCACAACGTAGGTATATAAATTATCAATTAATTAACTAGACGATCACTTTTACTACTAGAAGAAAAAAGGCCAAATACAATAAGTATTGAATTTAAAGTAAAATAAACTTGTGAGGTAAATAATAACATTTCAGAGAGTAAAATAACGATCAAAAAGGGGGGTACCGGGGGTGGCTCGTTACAGCCGCAAATATAACGAATATATTTACCTACATATTTTTATATTATTAAAAAATACCGAGAATTGCATATACATAAATACTAATAGATATTTTGTATTGCTTTGTAATTTTAAGACAACACATATTAGGTATGGAAAATTCATCTGGCCTTTAATAACTTTTACAATGAATATCGCTTATATTAATATTTATATAAAATATAGTATCCTTTCCGTTGTTTCGGGTTCTGCTTTTTAAAATAATTTATAAAACTAACTATTTAAATAAATTATTTTTATATATCTTTTATTGCAAGAATTTAGTAGTAGCAGACCCTGTAAGTAAGCACGTTTACTAGTACGACTAAAAATGCTACTATACTAATAGGTACCTTAGTTAATTTTAAATTAACTTGTCTAAAAATGATCTTCACAAAAAACATACTACATGTACTCACTCGCAGCCTAACAGAAAAAGATCGTTTGACTTTTTAATATTTATAGATTTGAAAAGTGCTTTTGAGTTAATAAATTTAGAGAAGGCAATAAAAGAATTAGAGAAGTTATTAAAAGTGTCAAAAATTAGAAAAGATGCTTAAAAAAGACAAAACACCAAACCCAGAATTCGATTCCAAGTAGATAAACGTAAACAATAATAGATCAAATACAAATAATAGCCTACGCTGATGATGTCGAACTATTAAGAAACTCAAAAAAACAGAACTAATAAATAGGTAGAAATATGGAATAAATAAAAAATAAGTAAATAAAAAATAAAATAGGAATGTACATGAGAGTAAAAGAACAGAACTAAAAACTAACGAACGGCTGGAAACATAAATTCTCAGGTTTCCCATTTAATAAGATGGCAGTAACAGACAGATACACTAAGAGAAAAAATTCAAAAAGGAAATGAAGCATTTGGAAGACAGTATATTACTGACAAGTAAAAACAACAAGATTATATGACATATGGAAACTGCTATAGACAACAAAAAGAGAACTAAATTTATGTGAGGCAATTTTATTGGGAAAAGCATTCTACAAGAACATAAGGTAATCAGAGAGACTAACAAACACAGCTAAGATCCACAAAAATTAGTAGAAAAAATAATCCACCAAGCAGTCTCGGATTGGGACCTCCAGGACCTACCGGTCAAGAGGGAGAAGTGCTCATCTTTTTCATGGTCATGAGCAAAAAATGTCATCTCTCATTGAAGAGCAAAAAAAGGTCCTCTTATGTATTACGGGGTTTTTTTGCATTTAATTTACGAGCGCCCACTTGCTGAACGAGGGCCCACTGCTTGAACGAAGGCATACCGGTCTTTTGACCGGTAGACGAACGGCCCAATCCGACACTGCCACCAAAAAATAGTCATAATCAAATCAATTATCCGGCCTGATTAGAATCCCTCATTTTACACATAGTTTTTGATAGTAGAAAAATTGTATTTACGCAATTGAGTAATTGCTGCACTGTTTATTGTACAACAAATTTAAATCGCTAACCATACTAATTTTCATTATTAGCTTGTAGCCTTCAGCTGTAATAAAATTAAAAATATATAATTATTAGGTAAATGACTTACGTTTGCACTCGTGCGAATTCTGTGCACTAGCTCTTCCCCAAGGAGCATCGTTGTAAAATGGTAAGCATTCATTACAATCTGGACCAGCGGTGTTATGCTCACACTTGCAAACTCTTCTTCTGGACCTATCCAATCCCGTGGAAGTTATACATTCGGAAGCGTGCCCATTGCACTTACATCTTGCACCGACTGCAACATCCATGACAGCATAAAAATAGGACTTTAAGACTTGATAGTCTCCGAAGACTTCGTCACCAAAAGTGTTCAGACGGTCCAGGGTGATCATTATTTCTGTAGCAGTTACCCATTCCTAGAACAAACATAGATAGCAATATAATTTATTTTATTTAACTACTTCACAAAAATGGAGTGAGAATTGTATATGGAGGGCAATAACAAGATCTACACATGCCAGCTAGTCAAAACATTAAATGTTGCAATGTTTATAAATATCTAAGTGGGAATGAGAATAATAAACGCTGGAACCTCAGTCGCCAGATAATTAAAGGGTAAGGTGGGTTTTACAGTGCTTCACATATTTGAAAAGATACTATGAGTGCTTCCTTGTATGTCATCTGAGGTATTAGCTGCGTGGCTGTAGTCTGTGATGAAATATCTTGGCGTAAAGTAGAAATAATTTTCTCGAAAACTGGTAGTAAATTTACAGATCAATTTGTTAAATATTAATAATGATTACATGTAGTTTCTTGATACAACTTTTTAGAAAATAGAATATTTTATATTTATTCGAAGCTAAGTTTTATGTCTTCCGCAGCAGTGAATTCTGAAAGATACTCTAATGGAATAATGTTTTTATTTTAAAGTGAAGTGTCTAACGTTATGTTATAAGGGTTCCGTTAAAATATTGAGACAAATTCCGAATAGAGTTTCCTCGTTATTTATTTTTAGAAACATTATTACACATTTTTACACATTATTAACACGATAACGACAAAGTAGGGAAACAAAAGGATGAGTTAAACCAAATCAATATTATTTCGAATACACCTTCACACGCTGGAAGAAAAAGATGAGGTTCTATTATTTTAAAAAAATTTAAACCGTTTGTAATCGTCTCCTTGTGATTTTTTTAAATTTTTAAATTTTGACTGCACCCGAAGATGGAAAAAAATTAATTTCCGAAACATATGTAGTGCTAAACGATTGAAAATAAAAACAATGACCGATTAAACCAAAGAAATTTTTATTTATATAAAATTCTACTACGGTCAGGAAATTATCCTTATTCAAATAATTTTACTGATTTCAACCATTTAAATTTCACTTTTATACAATATGTGTTGAAGTACAATCGTTAATAAGTGTAAAGTTAAACCTATATAAATTTAAATATTATGAGCTGGTGTAAATCTGACTTTGATAATAAATTAGGTTATGTTTTCATAAATATGTCAGTCTGATAATGGTCCGATATTTTCGCGTAAATTGAAGGTGAGTAAAATTGTATTAAATTAGTGTGAATTATATTTAAAATTTAAGTCATTTATAGTTTTAAAACTATAGTGAGGTTCTTAAAAATGTCCTTAACTTCCGATTTATTTAAATAATAATTGCAGAAGTAAATATTTTACTCATAAAGTTAACAATAAATTTTATATTTTTTCTTCTATTATTACTCTTATATCTGTAACGTGTGGAGGGTCGGTTACCCCCACGGCACTTAGGCCTCATTAGGCCCATTGTGCATCCTCCTAAGATGATAGGCACATCCTAGCTCGTGAGCATATTTAATGTAGTTGACAACGTCGCCAAGAGGTGCTTCTCTTATATCGGCCGATGTTAGCCGATACTCGCCGAACACAAATCTTCTAATAAATGAGAGCGTCGGGCAATCGTAAAAGATATGCTCGATGGTCTCATCTTCTTGTTCGCACCCTCTGCAGAGTGCGGATTCTGACAGCCCCATGATATGGAGATGCTTCCGTATTTGGCAATGACCAGTCAGAATGCCTGTGACCAGACGCAGATTCTGTCTAGTCATAGTCAAGTATTTGTTTGCTGCAGTGTTGTCAGGATTACTCTTATAAAGAAATGGTTAAAAATTTTAAATATTTGTAGTCAAAAAAATGGAAAGAATTATATGCAAAATGTGTGAAGCCAATTTATAAACAGATATTGTAGAACACGAGATAGAGTTTTATCATACTTTTATTCATAAAAAAACATGATGAAAGTAGGCGTTCAATATATGCTCAAAAAGATATTGTTCAATTTTTGGGTCCTATTCATGATTATATTTATCAAATTATGCTGAAATATGGACAATATGTTCCAAAACTAACATGATATTTATGTCAACTATTTAATTTTTGCGAGGTTCACCTATTAACATAAGTCAGATGTTTTCGGTTTTTATTTAAATTTTTATACTTTTACTGTAAAAAATATTATAGAATTTAAAAAAGTAATCTGTTAATTTTTAATTTTAAGTTACCTACCTTTATTTTTTTTTGTTTTAGATATTCCTGGGTATTGATATTTTCGGAATATATATTCTATCTATCTGAATTGGGATGTGTTTCGAAGCCTACTTGTACTCAAGCTGGAGGCTTATTGTACCCGAAATAGGCATTACAACTAAGCTATATTGAAAAAGATGGGTAAAGGGATAATATTAGGATTGGAATGAATTTTCCTTTGGAAAAATTACCTATCTGCATTAATAAGTCTTTTGCTTTTGTATTTTTATTACTATATCAAGTTTTTTAATGACAAATTCGTCATGTGCTGTGATGGTTATCATATTATATTTTTATTCTACAGTGCTTATGTTCTGAATATGGAGTTAGAAAATAATGGTACACAATGTAATTGCACATAGTTATTCTAAACAAATTAAATTAATTTTATTTTCACATTAATAAAGTGACACTTTCCATTTTTCAACATTCTACCTACAACAAGAATTCACTAAACCTATTGCTTATTCTAGTTGCAAGTAAAAGTTGTCAAATAGGAAAATGTGACTTTTAGTTGCTTCAAATATCATAAATAATAGAGCCGGCCACTTTTTTAATTGCTTTACCTAGTAGTGTTCTACTTTTTCGACTGTTACCGACGGGATTAGTTCAACCGCAAGTGCTTAGAGCGGCTACTGTCGAATAAAGCAAACTGTTACCAACTATTTACAGGAAAAGCGGCCCCGTAATCAGTAGTGTGACAGCTAGAGAAATGTTATTGAATATTTTCTCGCTAGTGGACACATAACATTAGAAACCGGCACTAAATAAAAACTTTTTTTGTTGTAGATTCCATTTTTCAATCTCTGATTCGATTGTACTTAATAATCTATTATTAAACAGTGGCAGCTGGTGACTAAAATATCAGGGTTTCACAATGACAGAATATGGAAGATGTCTGTACAGATTTAGGTAAAAAACTTTCAGTGTTTATAATATACCTTCCTAAAACAGTTTTTACCTAAATCTGTACTGATATCTATATTCTGTCATTGTGAACCCCAAATATTTTGGTTACCAGCCGCCACTTGTATTAAAGTAAGCAATAAGATTATAGTTTTTATCACTTGACGAACTGACTTGCCAGGGTCTCTGTATCTGTAACGTATGGAGGGTGGGTTACCCCTACGGCACTTATGCCCATTGTGCATCCTCCTAAGATGATAGGCACCTCCTAGCTCGTAAGCAAGCCTACAGATTTAATGTAGTTGACAACGTCGCCAAGAGGTGCTTCTTTTATATCAGCCGGTGTTAGCCGATACTCGTCGAACACAAATCTAATAAATGAGAGCGTAAAGGATATGCTCGATGGTCTCTATTTCTTGTTCACACCCTCTGCAAAGTGCGGATTCTGACAGCTCCATGATATGGAGATGCTTTCGTACTTGACAATGACCAGTCAGAATGCCTGTAACTAGGCGCAGATTCTGTCTAGTCATAGTCAAGTATTTGTTTTACTGCAGTGTTGACTTAAGAGCTTCCTGGCAACTCTGCAGTTTCTTGTTTCATCCCATCTTTCCTTGAATTTCATAAGGGAATGTTCTTTAATTAGGTCTGTCACTACCGATTTTGTCAGGCCAATAGAAGGGCCAGGTCCAAAAAGTATTTGGTTGGCTGCTTTTTTGGCTAGTGAATTAGCAAGACGGTTACCTTTCGATGTAGCTTGACCTTTGATCCATCTTAAGGTGACCACATTGTTGATGGATACTTCGGCCAAAGCTTCGTGACATTCTAGCACTAACTCTTAGTAAATTCGTGGTCTGTTCAGGGTGAGTAGTGCTTGTCTGCTATCTGTATAGATAAGCATGTTCCTTCGAGGGTCAAACGGTCACAATCTTCATTCAAAAATTACAAAATAAAATCGAAAATAAATCAAACTCAAATGTGATCAAGACGTAAAATAAAATGAATAAATCTAAAAGCCAATATCACATAATTACTAACGATAGTTCCTCTTCAAAAAACAACTACTCCTTTGGCTAATACCGTAACAGGTATTGAATTATATCCGAAGGAAAACAGCAGAGATAGAAATTAAATTTCACCACTCTACCTTTGATTTTGCTCACCAAGGAGAACATCATTCTTGGACCGGTTTCGTCCTTATTAGGACTCTTCAGCAAGAACAAGATAGGTTCTCAATTCCAGTCTCTAATGGAATTAACGGTCGTTCGTAATTATGTGATATTGGCTTTTAGATTTATTCATTTTATTTTACGTCTTGATCACATTTGAGTTTGATTTATTTTCGATTTTACAAATTGCCAGCCTGGTTTTTTGGTTCCACCTAGTTTTCTAACTGGGTATTACAGCGCCCTTTGATTTTGCTTACTAGGAACAGATGGCCACACCATTTCACTACTTGAATTCATAATTTCTCAAGAATGTTTTAGAAACATCGTAATTATGTTTTAGATATTCTATTTTCTTTTTAATTATTTTGAAATATCAATAAATTATAAAATTACTGCAATCACCAGAAATTTACAATCATATCAAACTCCAATATTAAATTTGAACATTTTGAACAATTTATTTTTAATGGTTCCTTCAAAACAGAGTGCAAAGCAAATACGACTGAGATGAATATACCCTTCCTTCTGGCTCAGCAGGAGAGTTCGGTTAATCCTCCCCGAGCTAAAAAAATACACTATTGAAGGAAGTCCTCGTGATGGAATCTATTTTTTTGCATTGAAAGTGTAGCACTGAGCTGCAGTACTTTCCATTTACACAAATTGTATGGATGGAACGATATTTTCGATGGAAAGGAATAAACTTCATATTTGATTGGCTTGCAGAGTATTAACCGAACACGTCTACCGTTAAATGA